AAATATATATATATATATATATAGAGAGAGAGAGAGAGAGAGAGAGAGAGAGAGAGAGAGAGAGAGAGAGAAGGGTGCAACCAGTACAGATGAAAGACCACAGAAACTCAGCTCTCTTACAGCTTGTATCTTTTTGTTTTCCTTTCTCTGTGTGCCATCACTTGTGTTATTGTTGAAAGACCCCAGTGCTTGTCTCAAAAAACCCATGTCAAACTTTCTTATGCCCTTACTATTGACCCAGGGAAAGATATGCAAATGGCATTTATAATGCATGTACAACGTGCCACACACAGTGCTAGGATCTCTAAAAGTAATAGGTCATATAATGTTGAAAAGACCCCACAACAGTAGCCCCCATTGGGAGGGAGGAAAGCAGAAATCTGACTATCCTTTACACAGAAAAAATGTTTATTTATTATCACACATACGCACAGAAAATTAAAGCAAACTTCAAATCAAAACTTGAATTCCAAAACCCTGGGTTAAGTTAAATATATTATACTGTACTTATGCAAGAGAATATACTGTTGTTATACTTAAGGTTTTAATAAGCTATTACTGAAAAAGCACTTTTAAGCTTTTTTGTGTTTTTTTTGATGCAAGGTCTCACTGTATAGTCCAGGCTGGGCTTGAATTTGCCATCCTCCTACCTCAGCCACTTGGGTACTGAGATCACAAATGTGTGGCACCACACAAGTTTCCTAAATGTGCCTTTACAACAGTTTATGAACTGGTATTACATAATTTCAAATGGACTGTAACATATGTTATAATCTATATGCATTTTCAAAAGTAAAGCAAAAGATTCGTTATTTCACTCTTCAGGATTATGCAGACCATCCACAAAAAGAGATAAATATTCTTCCCTTTAGGCTCTACAAAGCAATAAATCACTTCTTTTATATAACAACTTTCATTTATGAATTATTCATCTTATGATGTAAGTTCCCAGTATACATAATAAAAAATTTGATGTTAAATTATAAAACTAGTTGATGCAAATGAATATATAAACACTTACAAAAATTCAACATGAAAAAAATGAGTCAAAACACAAGATGCCAGAAGGATTCATACCTGAACAGGAAAATTATCAGAAAAATGTATTTATGGTATATGAGCCCAGGGCCCCTTATCTCATGTCTTCTCTCATAATTTGGAGAAAAATAGATATCACAGAAGGAAAAGTACAAGGAGAATATAATTAGGTTAGGGTTAGTGCATGGTGTACTGAGTGAATGGAGTAGTAATACTATTCAGTATTAAAAGTTTATTTCATTTTAGTGGCACTAGAGATTGAACCCAAGGTCTTCATGCTGAGCTACATAACCTGTCCTTTTCATATTTTTTATTGTGAGAAACAGTCACCAGGTCGTTAATATTGCCAGGTCTGGCTCAAATTTGTGAATTCTCCTGCCTCAACCTCTGGATTCTAGGATTACAGGTGTGCACCATTATGCCCAGCCTAGGTCAAAAGTTTAAACATTTTGGAAACAGCCATTTGGGGAAATAAACTGAGAGAACAATTGTATTAGGCATTGCTAATTGTGACTGAGTTTCTTTAGAACAGGGACATGAGAATAACTTCCATTTTCTTCCTTAGAGAGGAAGACTTCTTATGGGTCAGGGACATGTAAGAGATATAGACAAGGGGATAAAATTAGTATTTGTTAAAAGTTCTCCCATTTTCACACTTCAGAAATGACAAGATTATGTATTACGCTGGATAACAACAGGTCCAGCCACCTATTTGCTACTTACTCTCACCACTTTGGTAAAACTAAGGCATCAACTCATTTGTCTTTCCTCTCTCTATTCCATGTTTCCAACTGTTAGAAATCTGAGATTTGGCGAGAACTTTTACCTCACAGACCTCAAGCTATGATTTCTAGAGTTCTACTGTGAGATTTTTCAGTATAAAGCTCTTTTTTTTTGCATTTTTGCATTGTATCCTGAGAAAAATCTCCCTTTACAACATAAGAGGGTGGCTTTGATCTAGAGATACTGTATTTTATATCAATACTTATAATTTATGCCATGAATCCAAAATCCCCTTTATCCACTAACATCCAATGTGGTTTGAACAAATTAGCCAAAGACACAATATGTGAGAAGTATATTATCATATGAGGCTTCTACATAAAAAATTCTTAGAATTTCCCCTAAAGACAAGGTCTTGCTATGTAGTTCAGGCTGGCCTTAAACTTGCAGCGATCCTCCTGCCTCAGACTCTCAGGTGCTGGGATTACAGTGAGTGCACCACCACACCTGGCTCACTGTTGAGAATTTAAATTACAAGTGTGGCTGCTGGTTTGCTGGCAACTTTCCAGATGAAGTAGTTCAATTCTACAAGGCAAAGACATGTTCATAAGTAATTTCGAACTATAGAAGCAACAAAATTCTAGACGGAATAAGCTATCAAAAAAAAAAAAAAAGCCCAGTGGCACAATTTGAGTTAGGTTCTAAATGGCAGCACTGGTGGTCTCTCTCAGCTTGTTTCATTCTGCTTTTCTATGAATTTGAATTTAGAACCAAATTAAAAAACTGTATAGTAGAAGTCTCTTAAAAGCCTGAATGTAATCAGAAAAAGGGAAAAGAAGTTCAATCAGCTTTACAGTGAAGACAGGGCTGGGAATTTAGCTCAGTGGTTCTGCCGCCTGCCTAGAAAAAGCAAGGACCCGAGTTCGATCCCTGGTACCAAAACAAACAAGCAAACAAAAAACACCACTGCCTTGGTTACATTTCTCATTGCTGAGACAAAATACTCAACACCCAAAGTTAAACGAAGAAAGGTTTACTTTGGCTAACAGTTTGTAGAGGTTTTAGTTCATAGTTGGCTAGCTTCCAGGCAGGGTGGCATGGCAGAAGGGCATCACAGAGGAGAAAGAATTCATGGCAGGAAGAAGTCACCAAAGTAACACAGTAACAAAACAGCAGCACCAGCAGCCTGCCTCTCCCTAGTATCCCTTCCAGGATCAGGGTCAGCACACTCAGGGTGGGTCTTCCCATTATCAACACCCAGAGCTGTGCCAAAACAATCTCTGGACTAATTAAGTAATCACACACCCTTAATCTCAGCATTATACACTTAATCCAAACATCAGGTACCCTAGATCCAGTCAGTTCTGAAAAGCCCATGCACGACTGCATGAGGCTTTGGGAGGACATCTCGAACAAGCCTTACATTTTGCCCATAGCCCCCCAGAGGCTCATGCACATCCCTTTATGCAAAACGCATTCAGCCCATCTCCAAGAGTTGCTGAAAAGTCTAAGGCTAAAGTCTCTGAGATTTAACACCAACTCCTACCTCCAAGCTCCCATACAAATGAAAAGAAAGTTAAACATTTCCAACATACAATAGCACAAGATAAATATTCCCATCCCCAATAGAGAAGTAGAAAGAAATAGGACCAAGGCAAGACAAAATCCATCAGGGTAAACATTAAGTCCTATAGTTCCATGCCTAGCATCTGAGGCAATGTGGCAAGACAGGAACTCCAAAGGGCCGAATGGCTCTGCTCCTATGCTTATGGCTTCTCTTGTGGGCCGGTTTTGTGCACTCTGCAGCTTTCCTCAGATGATCCTTCTCCAACATTATGGGGTCTCCACTGCACCCTTGGCTTCACACTCAGAGCTTTACAAACTGCCAAGTCAGTACCACACTGCCTGGCTTCCCAGGCCTTCTTCTGAAATCTGGGTGGAAGCCTTCCTCACCCCACAACTCCTACATTCTGCATGTACCTAAAACCAGCACTGCTGCCAGGATACAAAGTCTGTGAGGCTGCAAAGGGTACAGTATTGCTGGTTCTTGTGATGACTTCAGGCCATCTTTTTTACTGTCTCTTCCTTTCTGCAACCAAGTTCTCCTCTGCTCTATCAGTTCACAATTTTACTAGAGTTTCCTTTCTGGACAAGCTTAAAACTTTAAATCATTCAGCTGTAACTTTTGGTCTTGACTTTCAAGGTAGAGCTGTCTAATTGCCCCCCCCAAGCCATGCCACTGTGTCAACATTAGACTGCCTTGAAATTTCCTCAGCAAAATTAAATAATCTGCTGCTCTTAATCTCAGGCTCCACCAAAGTCTTAGGACAGGCGCAAAATGCAAACAAGTTTTCCACCACAGCATAACACACATAGCCAGAAGTGCAACTGCCAACGTAGCCCTTGTTCCTAACTGAAACTTCATGACCCTGGTGTTTACTGGCTGTATTTCTATCAGCATGCTTCTTCGGAGCTCTGACCAGAATCTTCCATCAAGTACAGCATAAAGCATTCCAAGGCTGCTTCTTCAACCATCATCTCCAAACCTTTCCAAACTCTTCCCACAAGCCTGTTCCAAAGGCTCTTCAATGACATGGTCAAATATAGTCACGGCAACAACCCTACTCCAGGTACCAAAAACTCTTATGGAGCTCACCGTAGTGTTCCATGCAAGTCCAGGTTTGCAATGGAAGGCTGAAGGGTTTGTGCTGGAAGAAGCCAAGACAGGACATCCAAAGAGAAGACAAAGATTGGAGCGCCTTCGAAGAAACAGAAGCAAGCCTTCCTGCTTCATTTCCCTTTTATACCACTGTTGACGTTCTTCCCCAGGTGGGACTGCCCCATTCAGAACTATGCTGAGCCAGTTTAGTTGGGCGTTTCTTACTCGTGTTGACATAATCAGTTAACTAACACAA